CCTTCACGTGATGTTCACCTCCCGCACCACACGTTCAGCTTAGATCCAAGTTAGGTGCACAGTCTTGTCGTACAGACCACTTTAGGTGGTTCCGACTCGTAGGTGACCCGCGATTATTCGCACAGCTTTCACGTGATCGTAGCACTAGAGCGTTTATATGTATTACACCCAGGCCTGTCGTACAGACCACTTTAGGTGGTTCCGACTCGTGGGCAGGTTTAGTTATTGTGACTGAGATCTGAGCTCTAGATGCAGCCGTACAGGTCACGTTAGGTGACTCCGGCTGCTAGTTTATATGTTATTGATGTGATTTACACCTGAGCACTTGCATTTCATTCAGGGGTTCCGGCATGGCATATATTTGAGCATGATTGGCATTTTTGTATCTATGTACATATGTTTATTTTCTGGGAAGTATACAGGTTTTACGGCGAGGGATTAGAATCTTGTTTTTGAAATGGTTTTCGAAAAGCTTTGTTTTTGCCCACTCACGCTTTTGTTTTGCGCCCCTCCAGGTTCTAGCTAGCTAGCAAGTTTGGTGGTTTCCCAGAGGGCTTTCCCGGCATTTCTGACAGACGATCACCAGCGTAGGGCCACCTTCGGGTGTACTGTTGTAGCGTCATTTTAGTTTGGATTGCTTTAGGCTTTTTGCTCTGAACTTGTGTTTCACTTACGCTAGCACTTATTACTTTTAACTTGTGTATGCTAGTTTTTAATTATTCGTACTTTTACTTTACTATTCTATTAGCTTTCGCACTGTGCACATGGCTACGTCACTTCCACGTGGCGGCCAGCACGCCCTGATCTCGTTCGGGGTGTGTCATACTAAATTTTGGAGTTGACCCCTTCATGAAAATTGTAAAGTTTTTCATTACGAGTGATTATATTTTTCACACTTCTACAATAATTATTATTAATTTTGCACTCAAATAAATAACATTGTTCATGAGATTTGGAGGGTTTTAAAAATCTAAACGACCGTGTAACCATCGTCTAAACGTTTGAGGATGCAATTATGAACGTTTATTATACTTTCACATCTTTCAGACTTATACATTAATGATTATGAATTTTGTTTATTTTGAACTCCCTTAAAAATACTTTTCATGAGAGTTTGTATGGTTTAAAAAATTCAAACGATCATATACCCATTCTCAAAGCGTAGAGGATGCGACTACGAGCGTTTGTATATTTTTTTCATATTTTTAGCACATGTAAATTAATTATTATAATTTTTTTTATGTGTTTGGTATTTTTAAATTACTTGATATTTTATTTTTAATGTGTTTTATGATTTTTAATCTCAATCTTTGCCTATAATATACTATAAAAATAAATAAATAAATAAATAAAACTTAAATTTTAAAATAATAATAGAATAATAATTAATAAACAATATATTCATATTCATTATATCTGTTGCATTTTATAGTAAGTTTGTTTTGTGGTATAAAAAATTAAAATCATCAAAATAACTTTTTTCTTATCCCGTCGAAACAGGTTACCCGCATGTCATTTTCGTGTAAACTTATTAAGGACCTGTTATTAACGGGTTATTATCGTGTGACTTAATAATGACCCAATTAGTTATCGTGTTGACCCGAAACCAGTTATTTTTGTATCGTTTACGTGTCGTGTTAACGGATCGTGTAAGAAATTGCCAAGTCTAGAAAAATGGGTAAAAAAAAGAATAAACGGGTAAACGGATAATGGTTGTGGTTAAATGGGTAAACAGTTATTGTTAAATGGGTACACGGTTATGAGTATGATTAACCATTTATAAACGATTATGGATATGTATATAACCGTTTATGCAATTACCTAATGGGTTATGCGGGTATGAATATAAACGGTTATGGATAAATAATCACGATTACTCGTCCATCATAACCGTTGCTCATCCCTAGCCAAGACTCTCTTTCAGAGGTGTCTAATCAAATTTATAAAAAAGAAATAGGAGGTACATGGCAGACACTCCAATCTCTAATCCATTCCAGTATAATTAGGCCGAATTTAAATCCATCCCTTCCTCAAATCCGATTGCGACCACCACCACACGTATTTGAACTTCTAGCCGTTAATGTGCAAATTTTATTGTGAAATGGACACGTTCATATATCAATAATTGTGAACTACAATTGTCAGATACTGATATAAGCAAAGACCCACGAGGATCTTTTCCGAATTTTCTTTGCGAGGATTTTTAGGATCCTTCAATTACATCTGTTTATCGTATAACGTGTGATCATAAATCATTGCAAAATTTTTTATTTAAAATTGAATATAAATAGTACCTGATAAAAATTGACCGCATGATGTACGATGAACGAATGTGATTAGAGAATCTTCGGAATCCTCCCAAAGAGGATCTGGCGAGGATCCTTTCTCAGCAAAGACTACTTAGAACTTGACACTTGATTAGAGTTTGTACATCACATCATGCTTTTCTGGGTGGTTTAAACTTAGAATTTTGAACAGCATCAGCATTTTTGTAAATGCAACTTTACTGGAAACTTCTTATAGGTGGAAACCATTGTAAAGTATATTAATGAGAAACTTTTTAATGCAACAATCGAACTGTTACGTGGTGTTACTAATTCATTTATGTTATACATAATTCATAAAAAAATATTAGTTATGTTGGTCACTCAAATCATAACACTTAGACGTAGATCAATAAAATTACATGAAATGTGACCGTCGTACCTAAATCTTCCTAGTTTGAGCCTCGAGATTGAATCTAGTTATCCAACATACACATTCAGTCAAGATTCAATGGGTTACAAGATGACACTTTCAAACTGGCGATCCTATAATTAATTGATTGTTTGAACATTGAAACATTACAACCTGACGGTATTTAAGTAACACAGAACAATTCTTATCATATACATTACAGATAAGATCTCAGTTATTGGTAATATAAATCACTATTCGAAAAAGCAGCCGAAGCTTAAAGCAGGCATTCTGATTAGGGACTAGGCATTTAGAAAAACAATGAAGCCTCTAGGCGGCAATTAGGCGGCCGCTTAAGCGATTTGGGCAGGCGGTTCAATTTTTTATTTTTTTTTAGTTAAGAGTTTGAAGATAATTTTCATGTAAAAGAACTCTAAACTTTCATTCTTGTAAAATAACTCTAAATGCACATTTCATTTTATGTATTCAATCAATTGTAGTGCTTAATAATTTAATTATCCTTCCATTTTGCATTTATGTGTCCAAATACAATTGTAAACATATAATTTTTTTTTTATAAATATAACTACTTATATAGTCACGTATTTATATGTTTTTATTGTTATATAATAAAGTTAATCAAAATTTAAAAAAAAAAAAAAAAAATCGCCTATGCCTCTATTTAGGCAACTACCCAACTAGCGTCTAGCGTTTTTTTTTTTTTTTTTTTTTTTGAACAAACAGTATTATCTATACTAACTGGAGGGGGTAGACTTAACCTCACAATGAGCTAATAATAATATGTTTCAAACTCGTCTTTGACGAGAATCAATTAGCGTATAGCGCTTTTTAGAACCTTAATATAAATACACGTTCTTTTAGTGACTAGAATGCCTGGGTCTACAATTTTGTTTTCTTCGCTGGTTGGGCTTTGCGGGTACTTGGTAATACTGGATATAAGGCTTCTCAAACCCAGAAGCCAAGATGAAAACAAGAAGGCCCAAACCCAACTGTAACCATCATGGGCTTTTATTCAACAAGGCCCATAGTTTTTTTAAAATAAAAAAATGACTCATCTACATAAAGCTTAGCCATATGATTTGATGCCCTCAAGTAGCTTTTGGGCTTTTTCTTTTTGCGTTTGGTCAATTTGGTGGGCTCAAATTGTCAGTCACATCACATGCTACACTTACCCTTTTCTTTAGGGTATGAAACTTTACCAACAAGTAATGATAACATGTTCAGTTAATTTCCACCACATCCATCCACATAGTAATCACACATTTCTAAAGGTGTGTTCGGAACTTCGGGTGAGGGAATTCGAGATGGGATTTGAGGTTTACATGGGACTTAGATGTGTCATAGAGTCGAAGTAACGCTTGGCAATTTGATTTTCGCAACTTGGACCTTAAACTGGTGTCTAAATCTAGAATCTCGACACTTGATTCTGAACCTAAAAACTCAATGTCCAGGAGCAAACCAAGAGACCTTAATCTTCAGACCATTCATATGTGACCAAGGGTACAAATTTCATGACTTTGCAATCACTTTCGTTCAAAATTCTATGGCTTTTCAATCCTTGTCTGTCTAAATAATTTTTTTTTCAAGTATGTACTACAAAGTGATCCAAAAATCAACGGTTAAACTTTGCATATAAAAATTGCCATGATTTTTACAACGGTTAGATTTTGTATAAAACATGTAGAACTTAACTTAATACATAGCCGAACATCTCTCTATGTCCTTTTCCATGATTACAAAAACGTTTAAACATAAATTACGTCTTAATTACTAAAATATTAATAATAAAAATATATAATATTTTTCACAGAAAATATATATAAACAAGTACACCAAGTGGATCTTGGGATTTTTTTTAATTTGTACTGTGCATGGTCGGCATGACCCCAACGACATTAACTCAATAATTTTTAGACCGTTAAATATCAAAAGGCTTTGGTGCCTTTCACATCTCATGACCCCTATCACACGCAAAGAATTTACAGCTCTAGTTCGTTTAAAATATTTATTTTGAAGTCGAGATTTTCAATCTGATTTACTTTCCCCAATATCATTATACAAAAGAAGAAAAAAAACCTATAGTTGTTGTCACACTCACCATTTATCTAACAATATTTGTGTGGATAAATAAAAAATTACCAAAGTGGTTTTCTAACCTAATCATTGCTGCTGTGGGAGACCATGTGGTGTGGCCTGCCATTTGACAACCTGTTTTTCATCAGTTTGTGGTAGCTGTTCATCATCTTCTTCTGCTTCCCTAAAGCGTGTTTCTGCTTTCTTTTTGGGGTTCTTTCCAACCCCTTCTTCCTTTTCTTCTTTTTCTTCTGCTTCTGCTTTTTTTACTTGAACTTGACCAAATCTTCGCTTACTACTGCTAAGAACAAGTGTTAGCTTTTGCTGCTGAATCTGATCACTCTCATGGCTGCTGAAACTGTTGCCTCACTTCAAATTCCTACCACTGATGAGGTTAGTTTCTTCAGTTTTTTACTGTGATAATTAATTGATTAGTTTAGTTTATTCAGATGGTCCAAAGTTTACGTGTTGTTTTAACTTGTGATATTATGCTTAAATTGATTGTAATTCTTTTTTCTGTTTAATTAATCAAAAACTTAATTATCAGATAATATAGTAAGAATATATAGGGTATCAGATGTACTGTATGTAACTTTCGATATAGGGTTTTGAAAATATATCCGTATCATGAATAATCTGATGATGCAGATGAAGGGTGGTGTCTGTGTACGATCTTCAACAAGTGATATAGACACACACACACACACACACACACACACATATATATATATATATATATATATATATATATATTAAATATTGGTTGTTTTGAAGTTGTACACATATCTGGTGTTTTCTGATTTGAATTGGACATCAAGGGATCTAAGATATTTTAAGGGAAAAATTAGTATCCGGTCCTTAGTTACTAATGTTCTTTGATTGAAACCTTATTAATTTTTAGATTTTGATCAAGGTCCCTAGCATTAATGCAATAATGAATTTACATGTCAGTTACATAATTTTTAAAATTAAAGAGATTGAAAGCTAGTTTATTTCTCTGTGTATTTATTTTCCCTCTGATCATTCTTAACCATTGCAGCAAGTTGAGAAGAAGACCATTGAAGGAGAAAAGGCTATCGAACAAGATGGTGTTTCTTTAACCAAACAAAATGGAGGAGAAGTGCACAAAACTGAGGATTTAGAGAGTCTATCAACACCATCCAAGCCTCCGGCAATTGAGGCTGAGAAGGCTGCTGATGCTCCCGCGCAAGATGTTCCGCTTGTAGAAGAAACAAAATCGGAAAGTGAAGCCATTCCTGATTCACAAGCACTCGATATCCCAAAGCATGTGGTTGATGCTGTTGAGAGCCCGATAGAGGTTCAGAGTGCAATTGAGTCTGTAGAAAGAGAACTGCCCAAAGAAGTGGCCACAGATAGCACTGAAATAGGTCAGGTGGAGCAACCAAAGATTGTTGGTGCTCCTGTGCAAGATGTTCCGCTCGTAGAAGAAACAAAGGCGGAAAATGAATCCATTCCTGATTCAGAAACACTCAATATTCCAAAGCAAGTGGCTGATGCTGTTGAGATCCCGGCAGAGGTTCAAAGTGTAGTTGAGTCTGTAGTGAGAGAAGCACCGAAAGAACCATCCATAGATAGCATTGAAGTAGGGCAAGTGGAGGAACCGAAGATAGTTGATGCTCCTCTATCATCAGTTGAAGCCATTGAGAAACCAGAGGAGCCATTGGAGGTCACTTCGGACGAAGGATCCATAGCACCAGTCCTAGAAAAGATTAAAGACTCAAAACCAGAGTTTTTTGAAGTGAAGGACAAACTAGAGGAACCAAATATAGTTGATGCTCCTCTATCATCAGTTGAAGCCATTGAGAAACCAGAGGAGCCATTGGAGGTCACTTCAGACGAAGGATCCATAGCACCAGTCGTAGAAAAGATTAAAGACTCAAAACCGGAGTTTTTTGACGTGAAGGACAAACTAGAAGAACAGAAGACAGTTGATGCTTCTCCATCATCAGTTGAAGCCATTGAGAAACCAGAGGAGCCAGTGGAGGTCACTTCTGATGAAGGATCCATAGCACCAGTCCTAGAAAAGATTAAAGACTCAGAACCGGAGTTTTTTGAAGTAAAGGACAAACTAGAAGAACCTGAGCAAGTAGAGCCTGAAGAGATTGTGCAGGATGAGACGGTGAAAGATGAGGGCTCGATAACTGTAAAGGCTGAGCCTACCAGAGTCTTGAAGGAAGGGAAAACTGAAACAAAGGACGCACCTAGTCTAGCTGTGGAGGAAAAAACAGAACAGCCCAAACTTGTGGAACAAGAAAAGAAACATGATGAAGTTGGGCCTGAGGAAAGTGTGGAGGTTGAAAAGGTGAAAGATGAAGGATCTTCAGTTGATAAGGTTGAAGATTCAACGGTCGTGGAAGAAGCGAAAAATGATGAAGATAACAAGCCTAGTCTAATTGAAAATCTTGAGGAGGCTTCACTTAGTCGAGAAGCTCAAATTGAAGTACAAGAGGAAGGGGATGCTTCTCTACCTGATGTCACAGAAAAGTTAGCTACCGAGGACGAAAAGAAAGAAATAAGTGCAGTTGATGTGGTTGAGAAGCTAGCAGAAGAGCCAGCTGTGGAGACTGAAAAGGTCGGGGAAGAGAGTGTGGAAACCAAAGAGAATGAGAAGAGCAATGTGATTCCTTTGGATTCAACTCAAATAATTAAAGAAGACAAAAATAAGGAATCAAGTGGGGTTGATGTGGTTGAGAAGCTAGGGGACGAGGAAGGTGTGGAACTGGAAAAGGTTGGAGAAAAGAAGGTGGAGACTGCAGCGGATGGAAAGAGAGATTTGGTAACTGAGGATTCAATTCAACCAATCATAGAGGAACAAAGGAAAGAATTAAATGGAGGTGATTTGATTGAGAAGCTAGTAGACGAGGATGTAGTGAAGTTGGAAAATTTTGGAGAAGAGAATGTGGCAAAGGATGTCATAACTGAAGATAATGAAGAGAGGAATGTGATATCTGAGGATCCAACTCTGCCAATTGAGGAGAGTAAAAAGAAAGAATTAAGTGGCTCTGATGTGGCTGAGAAGCTAGCAGAGGAGGCGGTAGTGAAGGTGGAAAGTGGAGGAGAAGAGATGGTGGCAAAGAATGGCAGAATTGAAGAGAATGAAAAGATAAATGAAAAAATTGAGGATTCAACTCAACCGATCGATGTGGTTGAGAAGGTAACAGAAGAGGCAGTGGTGGAAACAGAAAAGCCTGCAGAAGAGAATGAAACAAAGAATGTGAAATTTGAAGACGACAAAAACAAAACTGTACTTGAAGAGGATGTCAAAAACTCTATTACTTTTCCCACTGAATTTATAGAAAAATCATTTGAGGGAGCTGCAAAGGATGCTGAACCTGCGGTGGAAACTGAAGCTGCAGAAAAGATACAAAATGCGACTCCATCTGATGTTGAAACCAAGACAGGTAAGAGTGCGGAGGAGAAGCCGGACGAAGTCAGTACAGCTGTTGAAGTTGATGAATCAGAAGTGAAAGGAGAGGAAACTGTTAAAACAGATGCTGATAGATTGGAGAAAATTATGGACGAAGTTGCGAAACCTGACCAGAACGTAGAGCCTCCTCCCACCAAGGATGGTGATCAAGCAAAACCCCCCGAGGACCTGCCAAAGGAAGTTCCAGCTAAGTCCTCTCAGAAACAGTCGAACAACCTTCTGTCAAAGGTAAAACATTCGCTGGTGAAGGCGAAGAAGGCTATCATTGGTGGGAAATCTCCAAGCTCGAAAAATCCTGCTATCGGAACCAAGGAGGATATCAAAGTTAAATAACGAGATGGATTATTAGTTTGCAATCTTGGCATGTGTTTGATGTTAAAAGGATGTGTGCATATAGAAGATTTATAAGCTCTGTCATACTCAATAGCGTGATGTGGTGTGTATATTGTTAGTTTTATTGCCCTTCTTATGCTGGTGATTTCATTTGTAATTAGTAATTACTGTTTGTGTTTTGGGGCTTGATTGTTGTCAGTTTTCGTCGGAAAAGACGTTATTTTAGTGTGAATATGAAATGCAGATTTATGTTAAGGTTGCAAGCATCAGTTTTTTCATCAGACCACTTAATTTTTCCGATCGTTGTGCATTTCGGTTGAAGGGAAAGTAGGATTGCATACCAAGAGATCAAGTTTTATGAAGAATTGCTTGAGAGCTGAAAACAGCAAAACAGCAGGTTTGCAAATAACCACTGGGAACAAGATAACTGAACATGGAAACTTGAAACTCGAGATTTTCGACAAACATTCTTCATGTTATCTTTCGCAGTATTTACATTTCTCATTAATAAGGAAATTCAGGACATAAAAGAAACCGATCGTACCATATTTCATCAAAATGGCTTCAGAGCAATGTTTCAAAAGGCTCGCCTAGGCATCCCTGAGGCTGGGCATGAGGGTTGCCGTCTCTGTTTTGAGGAAGTGGGTGGAAGGCGTTGTCAGAGCCGTCTAGGCACGCCTCAGGGGTTTTTTTTTTTTTTTTTTTTTTTTTTTTGTTTTTAATACTCCCAAACCTAAATTTTGGGTAGGTTTTAACTATCGTCTCTCTACCTTTTTTTTTTTTTTTTCTGATTTTTATTTTTTTATATAATGGATGTGTGTGTTGTCTGCTTGCATTATTATATGTGTGCTCATTGTGCTTTTCATCCTCTATTATATATACATATATATAATATAATATATGTATATATATTTATAACATGTGTACGCTCAGGATGATTATTGATTAATAATCTTTTCTTTTTAATATAACATATGTGTACGCTCAATGTATATATTAAAAAATTTAGGTCCCTTAAGGCTTCACCTCACGTCTAGCCTGGGCTATCTATCGGACGCCTCGCCCACGCCCACGCCCACGCTTTTAACGCATTGCTTCAGAGAAGAAGGAGAGTACAACAGATGTATTCAGACATTACTATCATTTCATTAATTCAAAGAATTGTTATAATATGTCCAAAACACACATTTAATACATAGCCCGGTATATTCTCAACTCGTTTGCATCGCGCTACCTCACCGACTACAAAGTGAATGTACAAATGCTAGAAGGGACTTCAAAGTCTTCTCAAGGTACCTAATTCTGTGCAACATGTAATTGCACTCTCCTGAAATTAGAATTCAGATGGTTATTACCATGGTTCAATCAAACTCTTCGACTCGGTCATACTTTTTTGTGTACTTGTAAAATGCATCTACCCAGATCAGAAGCAAGCAAAAAAGGTCCAATCTCAGGATGCTGCAACATGGATTTCTCTCCTCCAACGACGGATAGAACTGCTTGTTAACCGAAACCTGAACATACAAGCGGAGATAAAGTTCAAATTTCTTTCAAAATTGAAATATTACTTTGTTGTGTATGTGAACATATAAATTTGTGGAGAATGCCTTTATACACTCACTAGCTGCTCGGCTAAACACAACGTCGTTTCTGCTATCCGTCAGCTCTGTTGTTGTTAACATCAGTCGCTTGAACATTATTTCGCACCAATGCAGACTGTGCAAATCCCTCATTAGTTGCTTGGCCCTGGTGACACCAAAGAACAACAACACTTGATTTAGGCACAAAGATAACGCAACAATCCAAGGTTCTAGAGAATTATCATATCATCTTGCAATATCGTAATTGTTTAGCTGTTGAGATGCACACACTTAACGCAAAATCCTGGGGTTTTTCACCCACTGTTAATTGGTTTGGGTTGGATGCTCTAATGTAAACACTAACAAAGAACCCCAGGATATAAAGCATCAATTAAACAACCAAACTCCACAACTAATATTCATTTATTCTTTCAACAAAAATCAACTTCAAAGTAAATACACAAACCTGACTAGATGTTTGATTCATAGAGCTATTGGCATTGCTGTTTTGCATCGCTTGTGAGTTCATGTTCTGAACTGAATCCTTTGAACCAGAAACTGGAGCTGATTCCACATTTTCCACAGGTCCTCCTGAACTGCTTGCATTTAGTCCTCCAGATGACTTCACAAAGGGACCTGCCGATGAGGGAGCTAAGGGAGCACGTTGCATCGGCACTGGAACTCCTTGACTAGGAAGCCCAAACATCTGAAGGTTAGATCCCATCATCCCATTGAAGGCGGTGTGCCCTGCCATATGTGAACCAGGGAAATGTGCTCCTTGCATGGGGGGCACCTGAAGCATAGGGTAACTAGAAGATGCACCAATCATGTCGGGCATACCCATCCCAAAACCCATGCCTAATCCCATTCCCATTCCCATTCCAACACCCATGGGCGAGAAATGAGCCATACAGGGTCCATGCATGTGTTGCATTCCTGGTGGTAACATCATTGGTGGCATATACATACCAGCCCCCATTGACATCATCTGCATAGGTATTGAAATAATACTGTGTTATACTAGAACATTCAGTTTGTTGGACATTACATCGAAAGTTGACTGAGTTAAGGAGTGATAAAGATTATGTTTACCTGTAATTGGAGTTGAAGCGTCTTCAAATACTCAATAGCCTCATCCAGCATTGAAGCTTTGTCCACCTTATATGTCATAACGAAAATGTCAGGATAGCCAAATTACAGAAGATATCAACCAATGGTAGGTCATGTTTAAACTTCCATAACTATCAGATACATCTATTATAATAAGCAACCAAGTTTCAAACAAAAGTTAAGTTCGAAAGATTGTGGAGATACATTTCAGATTTAATCAATAGACTTCCCTAGACATGAATACTGTTTTACGAAATTGCTTTCACTCCAGAAGTATTTACTTTAGATCTTTGATTTAACACTAAATTGTAAAACTTCTGAAGTCCACCAAACATCACAAGCAACTGTCCAGAAAGACGAAAAAAGTTAACATTTAAAAGAATAAAAACCAACCTTATTGCAATTGGGTATGAGTTCCTGTAGCGCACGCATCTTCTCATTGATTCTGTCCCTTCGCTTCTGTTCAGAGAAATCCAGAATGAGCACAGTTTAATGATCTTAAGAGTTTACAAACAGCATATTGCAAAGGAACTAACACATTCCTTGTTATAAATACTATCAATGATTGGTTTTGCTCACCCTCTCTGATAAATTATGCACTTCTGCTGCTCTGCTTCTCTTGGAACCCATGCCTCGAGCATGAGCTCCTTTCTTCACACCCATGTATTCTTCCTCTACATCCTGCACAGGAGGAGGAGTCCTTAATTTATGCAGGAAAGGGAACTCTAAGAAATATTGAATACCAAGGTTTCAACTTACATCACTATGGCATTCAGACTCATCAGTCTCACGAAATTTTCTCTTCAAAGCTTGTGTTGGGTCATCTGAACCTCTCTCCACACTATTGCCTGAGCAAACAGAAGAAGCAACAACTGGCTCCACAGTTTTTTCACCATTTGGAGATACCCTAACTGCACTTTCACAAGGAATATGATTGGAATTTATGTCATTCTTAGAGGTTTCCTCTTGGCATGTTCCCTCAGACCGCTTAGCAGTACATGGTTCCTCAAGATGCTTAGCTTCTGTTGGTTTCAATTCAACACTGGATCTCACTAGAATCTGTTGGCATTGTGAATTTGACTCCTTTGGTGCACTACTGCTGGAATCAATTAGCATTGACTCGGGCAGACTGTTACTAGTTGCAGATGAAAACTTGTCCTTATTTGCAATCCTTATCATGCTTGATGAACCTGAGCCAGCCATCACACCGTTGGTCTGAACATTAGCTTTCGCAAGAGCAGCTGGTCGTGAAAAATGGGAAAAGTTCACTATGGATGGATTATTATTGCTAGGCGTTACTGGATCTGGCCTCGGTATCTTCATTCCAGGAGACCCGCCTGCAGATGAAATATGAGTTGAATTCTTGCCAACACCACGATGAGTGGCACTACTTGTATTATCACCAGCAGTATCCGAAACCCTTGATCTAAAAGATGGAAACGACGCTTGGGATCGCTGCGATGATAACGAATACAACTGAGTAGCACCAGATCTAGGTCTGCTAACATCAGCACCACCGTTCAAAGGAACCTTTCCCACATTCCTTTGTTGCAAACAAGCACCTTCATGTGCAGAATTGGAATTGGAATCCCTAAACACCTGACTAGAACTACTCCTCTTATCGATCGAGGCAAGATTGTGATTGGTGGAAGCCTCATTTGCAGTTGCACTAGAAAATTCAGGCAAAAAATCATGGCAGTACTCATGATGTAAAGGCTCATCAATGGAATAATTCAACCAAGGCAACATGTCATCATCCTCACTCAAACCCATCTCAGAAGATGGCACTGACAACGGAATTTCATCCAATCCAGAATCCACCACAGACCCAAATTTTCCTGTCTTCCCAATATTGCCATTTCCTACATCTCTATCTCGATTTTTTGGGTTGCTAAAAGACGGTAAGCTATTAAAAGACGGATTCTTCCTAGTTCTACTGGACTGACCCTGCATCATAACCTGACCATTTTCCCATACTAACTCAAGAAAATCATTTCTGCATTAAAATCCCACAACAAATCCACAAAATGTTCAAATGTTAAATGGGAAAACACTCAAAACACAACACAAGTCAATGGCATGAATCAAAAGGAGCAAAACTGCAAAGATGTAAAATTTAGGAACAGAAACTTACTCAAAATCTTGACTTGAATCAACCCTTCCGGCCATCCGATAAAGCTCGGACAAAGGCATTGTGAAGAGCTGGAAAATCACTGTTATTCTGAAATGGCACAAAGCTTCATGAACACAAACATATTGATCTTAAAGATTTCGACAACGGATTAGTCAATGAGTCATTAGTGCTGAGTTCAAAGCACCAGAAATGGATACATAGGTGTATATATAGAATGCCAGAGACAGGAGTGACTGAAGACGTCAACTCCCAATCAAAAACCCCACTATAAAACAAGCCCAGTTCAACTTATAGTGAAAAATAAATAAATTTATATATTCCTCAGAGTTAGATATTTTACAGAATAAAATCTTACTTTAAATACTGAAGTCTCAATCAACAAGTAAAATAAAATATGCGAACTTTAGATTTAAAAAAAAACATAAAACGTGAGCAGTCAAAGTAATTCTTTAATGGGTTCCAAAGATCCCTAAAAACTCTCTAAATTAAGCTGCTTTGGGTTAAAAGATTGATTCTTTTCAATTTTTTATCATTCAACGAAGAACCCAGAAAACAGTTTAAATTTCCTTAAACAAATCAGCAATCTTTGCAAAATCCTCACCTACCCAATACCCAGATAGAAACAATCATGGACAGAGCATTCCCAAAAGGAAAGCAAGAAACGTGGTTTTGGGGAAACCAAAGTATCTTGGATTAGTCAAATTACACCAATCCAGATGGTAAATCAGATAAAGCCTCAAGAATTAGTAACTGAGCTCGAACGAAGAGAACCCATGATTTCACAGAGAGGGAGAGAGAATCCAAGTGGACGTAGAAGACGGCGAAAGGCCAGCAGAGTTGCAGGGGGACCAATGCAGAGTGAGTGAGACGGAGAGAGAGAGAGAGGGGTAAAAGTTCCAGCTTTCAACTACCAAATGTTAAAGCTTGAAGCCATGTCCCCTTAGAATTTATTACCCTTAAAATGCACATTGTCAATCTTCTTATCATGCTTTTTAACAAAAAAAAAAATCTTCTTTTCATGCCTTAAAAAGCTTAAACTATTTACCTTTGAATTTTATAAAACGACTATTGTACACTCATTTACAGATTTTCTTACACGCGTCAGTTCTGTTTCTTAATTTTTTTTTCTTATTAATTCAAATAAAAGTCAAATATAAAAAGAGGTGTGAATGTTTTTTTTGTATTTTTAATATATCACGATGATACTATTTAGAACATAAAAGAAGTATCATCGTCGGATCATCTTTATGAGGATCTCAGGTATCTTCTAATCATATATGTTTCATCGTATATTTTACAGTCAGTTTTCGTCAGTACTATTTAAATTCAATTTTAAATAAAAAAATTTACAATAATTTTTTACCACACGATGTACGATGAACAGATGTGATTTGAAAATTCCAAGAAATTTCACAAAGAGGATCCGGCAAGAATCCTCACTCAGAAGAGTCATAACATAATACTTAGAATATCTCCAACAAACTCTATAAAAGTCTCTATTATAACAAAATAAATTTTTAAATTTATAGATCAACTGCTCAGAAGTTAAACATTAAAAAATAAAAAAAACTCGAGCATGTAAGCCATGGAAAAAAGGAAGAGAGAGTGGTTTTTGGAAGAAAAGGATCCTCTCCGGATCCTTTTGTGGGGATCCAAATGATCAATCAATCATGTTCGTTCATCGTACATCGTACATCATGCGGTTAGTTTTCATTTAGTATTATTTATATTCAATTTAAATTTTAAATTTTAAATGATTTCTGACCGCACGATGTACGATAAACGAACATGATTGATTGATTCTCCAGATATCCACAAAGAGGATCGGGAGAGGATTATTTTCCATTTTTGGAAATGAATGGGTGAGTTTTTCTTTTTATAATGATTGATAATGAAATGCTCGAAGTTTGCTGAATTAGGTGTTGAGATGAAAAGTTAAAGAGACTAGTTAAAGCAATTTTGCAACATTGTTCACCTTTTAAACTAGCAAAAATTTAACAAAAATGTTGGAAATGCTCTTAATGAAAAAATGAACATTGTTTGGCTCTTTTCAGTCTACGTTATTCATCTTTACTTGTAAATTGCAGATTCACACATAAAAAATGATTTTCACACACACCCTTATTTAAGCATGTTCATTGTATCCATTAAACTTATTCAATGTGATGTTTAACAGAAGAGACTTGTGCATGAAGTAGTCTGTAATTTCCTTATAAATCAATTCACCAAACTCTCATCCTAGCCTTAAATATCTTTATTTTTTTAGTCACAGTTGATGATGATGATAGCTGCCACCACTAAGCCATACTCTTGTTTTCAACTTGCTTTTACCAAATCTGATCATGATCTCAATAGTTGCAACCAAAACATTGTGCTGCTTTAACTTAGATGATCAAAACCAAGTATTTAGTTTTTATAATGTCTTGTTTACATAAACATAGACACACTTACTACAAAAACGCATGAACCTAAACATTTTATTTTATGGTCCATGACACAATGTAATTAATTAGAGGGGATGCTTAAAATTTGTCACTATAAACTATATTATTAATAGAATTATAGAAGGTGCGGGTGATTTGGCAAAGAAAAATTTTCACGCACCCGTTATATAAATTATGTGTCTCGCATTTGCTATGGCAGGTAAGCAATACATGATTATGAATGTGATACACTTGTCTAATGTTGCAGGTAAAGAAAAAAAAATTCTCGACAAGGTGAGGTAAAACAAGGTGTTAATAAAAAGATGAAACATCATGATAACTCTATGGTTAGTGACTCTAGTGTTGTTTGTACTTGGTATGCATTTATTGATTTTTTTGTTTTAAGGAAACATAAGGTTTTAGAGATGGGAAGACAAAGAGGTAAACTAGAGAGTCGTACATCAAACGATCTTATTGTGCCCATACTTTAGTTAAATCAAACTCTTTGACTCACTTTTAGTATTCCATCACTTGAATTAGAAGTACCTGTTTGAAAGTAGTTTTTAAAATGATTCAAAACGTTTTTAATGAAAATAGTTTTAAAATCAATCTTTAGTAAGAATGCAAGTGACTCTAAAAAAAAAAACACTGAAGTGCTTTCAAGTTATGTGTTTCTTGCAGAAAGCACGTTAAGTGTTTTTGAAACCCAAAATTTTTCTAAAAGCTCTTTTAGTTATTTTTTAATCATTTTAAAAGCATACTAAAAACACCCCACCCACTTAGTATATGATTTGTATCTACTTGGTAAGCCCTTTCCCTATGCATTGAATCCATTTGTTGATGTGCTTTGATCATAAAACTAGGGCCACAGTTGGTAGGTTGTTTTCTCTAATAAGATAGATGCATTTGATGTCATTATTCTCTGTATTCGAATAGAGCATATTATCCTTTGGTATTTGTATACCTTATCTTATAAATTTGGATGTGGATTTGGATTTGGGTTGTAGTTGTGGACTTTATGTTTGGATTTTATAATGCAAAACGACAACATCATTATCATATATATACACTAATATACATCGATCATTGTATTTTGGTTTTCTTTTCTTTTTGGCAAAATGAGATTAGCGGGTGATTTCGTCACTACATGTTTTTGAGGATCGCGAAAACTCACGTAAGTATATCAGCTTTTTCCTGACAACTATCATGTAATTCACTAATACCAACAATTGAACTTAGGACATGTCGTGTAGAATACGAATCTGAAATTCATTCCTAACCACTTAACCAACTCCTTGGTATTTCATCATTAGATTTTGTTGGCTGGTGTCCCTTTTTCAAATTTCAACTTAAATAATCACATTAGATTTGAAAGTTATAGATTAAGGCACAAATAATCCATTGACTTCCCTGCGATTAACGAGCTTATAAAAATCTTCTACCCCTTCATTTTTGGAGAGACTTTTATTCCTTTAATTTACAAGCTTTATTAATTACATAAATAAGCAGCCTTTTAGATGATTAATTAAAGTTTACTTGAATAAGATATTTTAGACTTTTTGTTTGTTTCAATCCTCATACTATTGTGTAAGATTTGATGATATTATGAAAGAGGAGAATGGGGCTTGGGAACTACGCAAAAAGTAATTTACAGTTTACATTCATCATCGTGTGAGTCATTATGTTTAGGGAGAGATTTTTTAGTATACTTGAAATACAGAGTTGTAAATTATAATTTATTATATAATTAGATGAAAGTTTTTTCTCTTTAATTCTATAATGACATGTAATTTTTTTATCTATATTAAACTTCTTCTAATTATATAATAACATATGATATACAACTTTGTGTTTCAAGAATATTGAAAAATTTGTACTGTGCAGGTTAAAAAAAAAAAAAAAAGCCAAAACATCGATCTATGATATAAAAAAGTTACTAGGGAAAAAGAAAAAACAAACAGGGTTGAGCTTTAGAGCGCAATATCCAAAGCAAAGAGTCGAATTGAAAAAATCACCTTGCAGTCCCATCGAGTAGATCTATCACAATCGAAAGATACAATTTTATTGTGCTTCCCTTGATTAAGGCAAACAAAATGGCGAAGCTGCCCTGTAATTTATTGAAGCATGAGGATTTATACCAAGGACATGATAGCCATTTTATGCTGATGCATGGTGTGTGATAGCCAGCAATTAGGGGACATCCAAATCTTAAACTTTATACTCTTTTGGATATTGGTAGGACCTGGCCAAGTTGCAAAGTTAAAAACATATAATAGAAGTTTAACAAAATGATGGACAATCTAGAAGTAAAGTTACTAAAATCTATGAAATTAGTGAGTCTACTCCATTTTAAAAGGAGTGTTAGAAACAATCGCATATATTGTTCACTTTATGGATTTCACAAGCAACATGAAAGTAATAATCAACTCACTTCCTCCACAAAAAAGAAAACTTGAAAATTAAAAGTTTAGGAAACAACGAAGAAGAACAATTTTCCCTCTCCCGAGCCATCTTTCTCTCCCTTTCCAAGAAAACCCTAGCTTGCTACCTCCATTGTTGTCGGTCTTTAGCTATGGATGGGGCCTGTGGTAGCTTCTCCTTTTGTCTTTCTAGCCATTCTTCCCTTCCTCTCTTCCCTCTCTCCCTCATCCCAGCCTTCTCTTCCCTCCCTTCCCATGTGTGACTTTGCACCCTGAACCCATTTCGCCCACCCTTTCTCAACCTTCACGTACCTTATTTTCCCTTCCGTATTTCTCTCCCACCAAATTGTGAGCGATTTTTCCATGGATTTAGGTCTCATACCCAAATAGTTTCTTTTTTGAGTTGGCACTTAATTTCATAGTGTGGGGTTGGATTCGTGGTTGCAAGTGGGTCGGATCCATTGTCATTAGCTCGTTTTTCCATGGTGATGACATTTTCCTCGACTAATTTGTGGTTGTGCCGACTAGTGTGCAGATCTATGCGGCTTCGCTACGTTGTGCGTTCTATTTTGGTGGCTCCGTCGCCTTGTGCATTTCAAATCTAGTCAGCTCTGCTGCTTGATGATATCAGATTTGGTAGCTCTGCTGCCTTATGCAACCAGATCTTAGGGTACTTAGGCCATCCCCAACCGAATGAGGGCTAGATGGCTCCTTTTAGCCCTATTCCCTCCAAGAAATTAATATTTTAATGAATAGTGTCAGGCCATATTTCTTACCATATCCAACCAAGGGGCTAAAGGGCCATAAGCCAAACATAGCCCTATGACAAAAAACCATGTCCAACTGAGGGGGCCAAATGGCCATAGACCAAACATAATTTATTATTTTAATTGAATTAATATGGTTACTTAAATTAAACTACCTCAAAAAATTTTCGAGATGGAATGTCAATAATTTTTCTAGATAGAATCTCAATAATTTTTCATCTCAGATTTCGAGTGTCACATGTCGATATATGAGTAACTTTGCATATTTCTTGTTGATATGGAATCTCAAAAATTTTATGTCTCGGATTTCGAGTGTCACGTGTCAATAT